CTAGTTATCCCACTATTGAAAACTAGTACAACTATAGTTTCTATACACATCTAGTATAAGAATCTACTCATCTAGACAAATCAGTTAGATGAAACTATTTAAATCAATTTTTGCAATTGTTCTTACCTATGAGAGTGTTCTACAGTTGTGATTAAGCTGGTCTAATACAACTCTCAAGACTGTAGTTACTGCCCCTACATCAATCGCACTTTTGCAAGCTCACTGTCCTGTTTGGGGATGGTAAGACAGGAAACATATTTTTAGTCCTTATTTTTTTTCCACCTAGATGAAAATTTCAGTGCCAATGAAAGGAGTTTCTCCTAGAATAACTGCTTAGTTAGTTGACACACTGTTGGCCTCTAGGTAGATGCTTTAATCGAGAACACATGTTGCTTATACTTCAGTATTTACACTCGTCTGCTTGTGTGAGGCATGCAAATATATTATTCATAGATGCTCCTTAGACCACTGAGAATGATGGGATGGAATAAATATTAGAAGTCTTCACATATTTAAAATATACCCATATGTCAGTATGCTAGCCAAAAAGTAAGTTATCTATCTAAATTCATATTGGAGCCAACTACTGCCCGACAAAGCAAGCTCCATTTTAACAAAACCAAACTTACAATTGTTTTAACACATATAAAGTTCTGTTTGTGTCAACAGTTAGTTAAGCAGAGGTCAAAGCAGCACTGCTAAGGAACCTGAGGTGTCCCACAGTGGCTGCATGCACGATCACCGGCATTCTAACAATGCAAAGCTGCTAGAAACCTGCAGTCCACCAGCACTCAGATGTGAGTCTCATATCAGGTATTCCCTGCTCCTGCCCCACTATTTGCCTTACGGCCTGTTCTCCAATCACACGTGCAGGATGCAGCTTCATACAAGAAGGTCTGGAGATAGTGTTGTTATTAGAAGAAGAACAAGGCACCAGCATCTGCCTGTAACCTACAAACATCTGTTAAAAACACCTCACAAAAATATATACATACATATAAGTTACACGAAAAACAAGCAAAATACTCAAGATGGGTACAGCAAAACAATGAAATGGAGAACCAGAAAGGAAGATGTGACCAAGTGCAGAAGCTTTTCAGTAGAAGAATGTTTTGAGGCCTCAGGAACTACAAGTCACCAGATGGGTCTTCTACATATCAGCAAGCAGGTGGCGGCTGAACCAGGAAACTGTTGCAGGACATTAGTCCTTTTAAAGAAAATCTTACTCTGTACACCTGGATAAGATGCCAATTCTAACCCAAGAAAATTGCCACTGAAGCAGTTTGAGCAACGCTTACAAATGACTTAGGCCTTGCCCCAGTCACAACCCCCTCCCCCCAAGGGCAAGGGGCACTATTCTAAAACAAAAGACCTACAAAATGCAGAGCATTTGTAACTGTTTACAGCCTGGTTCTCTATCGAGCTATAGACCTGTCCCTCAAATTTACCTCAGGTGCTAACTGTTCCTACTAATAGGTTACTTAAATTTCTCTGTGCAGATTACCTGCCTAGTGCAGCCCAGCTGCATCAAATGCAGAGAAGCTTCACACCCCAGTAGACAAACAGATGGTAAGTGTAGTTTCCTCTGGCCTTTATTTACTTAGCTTGGCAGGGCAGGGCAGACATGATGTCAATTACTTTGACTGTAACAGGGCTTGTTTTTGCAGGAAAGTCCTTAGATCACTATATATAAATTTCCTCATTATCAGCTACAAAAAAAAAAAAGACTAGATCAAGGTGCAAATAATGGCTAGAAACATACACAGATACTTTCTTTACCTTTCCTCTTGTTACAGATTTGACTTCCTTAAAACATTTATCAGCAACAATACTGCAGCTACATATGAGTTTTACATATAAACCACAACTTCCACCCCTAATATAATTTCATATTGCCATCTGAAGAGCTACTGTTTGCACAGCCACCATCACATTATGGTAGAGGCAATAAACATATAAAAGCATTTAAGAATTCATATAAAATAAGAGTTCAATACAGCTGAAGACCAATCAACTATGAGAAGCTAACTATAAGCTTTTTTTATTAGAAGGAACCACTGACCAAAGAATTCAAATAATCCATGGACCTTCGAGGCGTTCAACATACTGGACATGGCTACGCTTTTGCTATACTCTTGCAGTGTTGTGGCATATAAAATACTACTCTGTATCAAACAACTTTAGTTTTCAGCGCGGTCTCTTCAAATAATTTATTCATATCTCTAGAAAGGAGAGCAATATATTGCAGCATAAGAACAGCTTTCCGGTCATCTGAAAATGTTATGCAAATGTTTGGAAAACAACCCCAACTATAAGTGCAAATTGATATAATAGCTGAGGCAACATATTACTTTTTAATCAGATTGAACTGGTATTTTTTTATCTTCTATACTCTGGATGAGTACATCCACTAAAAAAACAAAACCGCACTGAATAGGGGATAACCAAAGGGAATAACTCTATACGCTGAACTACACAAATGGTTGTTCCAAATCAGATAAAACTTAACCTAAAGTTTTATACCCCTCTCCAAGAATTTCTAAAGTAGAGAAGTCCCTAAGATAAAAATCAATACACCAAATTTAAAATACAGTTTCTTTTAGTTCTGTGTACAAGCAGAACAGTAAACAACAGGCCATCAACCATAAAGGCAGTAACAAAAACCAATTATTTGTCATCTTTTTCAGACATAGCTTTAAATTATTTCTGGATGCAAAACATATTACATTTTTACCAGCCAACATCAGAACTGGAAGATGGTGATCTTCTTGGGCTTGTATTTCCTAAGATTAGTCTTACCTGAATGTAGGAACCTGATGCAGAAAAAATATTTTTTTCAATATCCTTCCACCCACAGCAGCAAGAGTACTTCTGCCATAATTAAGACTTTCACAAAAAAAGATGGTTCCAGAGGAGAGAGGACCTTGCAACTCAAACCTCTCCCACAGGGCCCACAGCCTCTCCCATGACTGTTTGTAAATCACCTCAATCAGAAGACTCACCTGTGTCTGCAGCCAGCCTTAAAGAACCAGCATTATGTCTTACACAGAGCGTATTGACTACATATTCAAAATAAAATTGAAAGATTTGCCCAAAGCACAATAATATAAACATGAATTTCAAGTGCTTTTGTACCATGACTAATGTAGAATCAAATCTCACTCATTTTTTTAGGAGTCTTTATTGTTCTGGGGATAGATAAAAATGTTTTGAAAGGGGTTAGGCCATATTGCAGAATCAAAGCAGTATTTAATGGCTTGTTGTCTCTTTCTGGTGCCAGATACACATCCCTGTTTGTTAGAGCCCACATTATTCTAACTGCACAGTCATAATACGTGTATCAGTTTGACACACTCAGTAAACATCTCCAAGTAAGCTCTCCTTTTTGGACTTAATTGGAAAATTTGCATCAGCAAGTATTGTCAGCTCTAGTAGGCAGCATCCTGAAGCAAGTCCTTTCTCAGTAAGAATTATTATTACTGGAGTGTGTCTTGGTTCTCATCCAAATGCCACTGCAATCTCTCAGAATCTCAGCATGCTTTAGATAAGTTCCTATAATCATATCATGTCATACAATCATAGGATCACAGTATAATGCATGTTGAAAGGAAGCTCAAGAGGTCTCCATTCCCCATCCTCCTGCTCAAAGCAAGGGTAGCTGTGAGCTCAGACCAGGCTGCTCAGCGCTTTCTCTAGTTGTAGGGATGAAAAGTACAATCTAATCCTTACCTCTATCCCAGGGCAGATCAGCTAAGCTGTTGCTGGCATGTTAGTATCACATAACCTTGAATTAGAAGATGGCATAGAGAAAAGAGCTCTATCTTCTTCAAATTTTCATTGTTGGTCATTTTAATCAAGACTCTTGGTAATTCATGTTTTTCTCCTTTGGACTCTCTCTAAACAGATCAAGTGTTTGGACTCAGTAGACAACACATAGAAATAACCTGCTTACCAAGAGGTAAAAAGGAAACTCAGTCCATAACTTTGATTTCTATAGGTGAATTTCCTAAAGGAAGTGTATTTTTTGATTTTTCGGAGCAACTGCAGCAAAGGCTTATTTTCTCCACAGGAAGACATATAATTCAATTAGGTTTCTTTATTAAACATCATAATGTATGCTTATAAAATGACAGTGGGGACACATATATTGTAGTCTCACTTTCTCACTTCAGCTCCGGTTGAAGTATTTGGTATTTATGTGATTGACGTTTTGGTTCCCACATGCATCTGATAAGCTTCCTGCAAAGCTATAGGTACTTTTTTCTAGCTACTCAATTAATCCAACCAGTTGGCCCACTCAGTAATTACTGTAAAGGTCTCTTAATTCTTGTTGGGATACTTTATATTCTTGACTGGAGAGAAATCTGGAAAGTAATTTACTACATAGACATTTTGACTGAAACTTTTAGTTTGCGAGGTTATTAAGCATAATCTTACGTTTCTCTTTGCTATGAGGATATTTTGTACATGGCTGAGCACTCCAAAAGGGAATTTAATTAGTTCCTGTCAAAACTCTATCAGCATTTAATTTTCCTCTTGTTTATTATATGTCCATAATAACAACTAAGTGGTACCTTGTGTGTGAGAAGTTCTTTGTGTATATGAATACAGAGAGTAATAGCAGCTGCATGCACTAATAGAGACTGACAAACCCTAATGTTAGATTTTTGGAAAAAAAAGCAGTTTCCATCCGTATTTCTATCACTAATTCACCAGTATGGGGTATCTTGTACACTTTCTTCTTTAGTCACACTAAAATGCCATCTGAACAAATGTAATGGTACGTCAACTAATTACAACTGAGCAATATAAAATTAACACATTAACTTATTGTTACTTGTTAATGAAAAAATAAGTTTCATTGCATCTTCATACCTTTTTGTTCAGTATAATTGATATGATCTCTTGCCATATTTTAAAAGAGAATAAGAATGAATTTGTGCCTCATCCAAAAAAAAATAAGGTACCAAGCAATATTCATTCAACAGAGAAAGCTTGTTTTATGAAAGAAAAAGCCTTTGAATGCAACCTAATACAAAAACTATACCCCTGATTTGGGATGTCTCTGAACTCTGAAAGTTATCACTACATAGATGCTCTGTTTCTAAGAAAACATCTGCTATTTTGTCCATTGTCAAAGAAAGAAATGACTCTCTCCTACGGGCCTTTCTATTCCTTCTGACATGCGTGGCTCTTCTTTTGCAGTGTTTCCCAATAGAATATGTGCTCATTTGCCTGAATGTAATTATACTATTGTACTTACAAGGAGAAAACGGGACCTTGTATATGTTAAACAATGAATGACCGAGTGGAGGTACTATCTGTATTCCCATTGCCTTAAGACAGAGCCCTACATAAACATCTTCCAAATGTATATATTTTATTGTTATGGAAGCATTGACAATTTTCAAAGCCAGGTCTCCAGAAAATACGTAGCCAGTTCCTGAACAAAAAGGAGGATATTTGTCACTTGGGTAGTCTCCTTCTGATATGTACCGTTTACTTTTTTCATTCCGAATAGGCTTATGCCCTTTCATAAGGCAGCCTGTGAAATAACTTTGTGGAGGAGGTGAAAGAGGCCTGAGAAACTTTACTATTAGGTATACTGTATTAACAAAAACATCGCTGTCTGTCTTCATAACAAAGCTTGCACCACTGCAGTAAGAGGCAACCCACTTCATGCCCATCAAAGTTTTGAATTAAGTTCTGGTAAGTGTCTAGGAAGTCCTGTTGAATGGTATCGTGATATTGCTCGCTTTCTCTCAGTAGGACCTCATTTGGACTCTTGTTCTCAATGCCCAGCATAAACAATCAAACAACCTCAACTCCTGGAACCACAGATTCATCTCCCCATGTTTTTCTGAAGGAATGTCTGTGCTGAATTTCAGCAGCTGTAGTTGCTATTAGCAATATCAAGAAAGGAGTTTTATCTTTATACTTGTCTTTTTCATCAATAATGAATTTAAATGACTGGGTTGAAGTGGATCTGTTTTTATTCCCAAATTTCTCATTTTCAGCTGGTAGTTCTCCATTCTCTTTCCAGAAGAATTGATTGAATTTTGAAATAATTATTTTATGTAAAATATTTTTGCTTTCCATCCTAATATTATCATACCTTTTGGTAAAAAGTATTTCTTTTTCTTCTGTGTCATCATTGTTTTGAACGTTCAGTTAGGTGATCAGAATTCAATAAATAGAAAATCAAATATATTGTCGTAAAAGAGATGGAGGCAATCAGGAAAATATTTCTCTTGGCGCAATCCCAAGGAGAGGAGAAGAATCCACTACAGTAGATCAAAAGTTGTCAGCTTTGCAAAAAAGCTATTTTTTAATTGGACAGATATTTTGTCAGAAGAGCAGTTAATCTGTAATTGTTTTCCTCAGTGACACAGGAAGATAAAAGCAATCTGCAGGCTTCTGATTCTTCAGGATTTTTTTTTTTAATTGAAAGTACCCCATTATTTCATCTTAGAATAAACTGTAAAAATTTTCATAGAAGCAAAAAAACAGTCTTTAAAAAACATTCATTATTTCATTTTCAGGCTTTTCTTCCTAAGAGAAATACAGTATGATAAATACAGTAATAAATAAATAAAAGTAAATAAATACATTATTAAAAAACAATTTTCTCAGAAAGACCAGAACTTATTCAGTTATATATTTAGATATTGGAATATATGTAAAATATAAATGTGAAATTAATCCAATATTACAATCAATCTTTTAATATTGTTATATATTTGCAAAATATCTGTCAATCTTTCAATATGGTTGTCTTCAATTCTAATAGTAGGCTACAGAACACGTAAGAAGTATGGTAGAATGTAGAATATATATTCTATTTCTAATGCATCCATTTATTAAAACACACCAAAAAGATACACATTTAAAGTAAAGATTGTAATTGCTATTCCAATTGCTAGAACACTCCTCTCCAGGTTATAAAAGTAGAAGAAAGATAGCTTAACTTCATGTAAGCTTTACAAAATGTTATTGTGTAGTTGAATAATCCAAAGCTAATGAAAGATTATGATTAATTTTGGATTCACAGTCTTGGAGACTACTGTGATAAATCACATGGCAGGTCCCTTTGGCCATTGAAAAGATAAACGGTTGAAAGTAATTGTCTAGGCTATATATGCTGTTAATGCAGACAGAGAGGTAGCATTTCCAGAGGCGAATTTAGTCATCAAAAGATGAAGTGCCCCCTGCCAGCATCTACATCTGTAAAGAATGCTTAAGACAACTTGCTTAGGCTAGATCCATACATTTTGAAATAGCTTCAACTGAATGAGTTGAATCCCATCCTTGCAGACTGCAAGGACAGGTAAAATATAAATACTGGAACAATGAAAATACTGTAGCTTTGGGTATATTTTTGTGATTTCCATAGTAGCTGGCTTCAAATTCTGTCTTCCTTCAACTACATGATACAGAAATTTATCTGAGCCTTGCAGATGCACCACAGTTTGCAGGGAGAGGAAGATAATCACAAGCATCCACCACACCACAAACTGCTAACACCCAAGAATGCTATCTGGAAGAAAGTACAAGTTAACTGTACTAAACTGCTTTTTACAAGCTGGTCTGTGAAGGGTTCTCTACACGTATTCCAAAGTGAGCTGCGAAAGTATAGCAAGTCAGTGTTTTCGGATTTTTTGTGCCAGAACACTACTTGACAGATGCAACATGTAGCTCACAATCAAACAGCAAAATTCAACACTTCTTACCATCATCTTTGAAACTGCAGATTCATCTCAGTCATACAACCATGGTATTTTTTAGATTCTTCAGTAGTTTCTTGCTGCATCACAAAGAAACGACAGATTTAGGAGGACTAAAATAGAGTCAGAGATACTATCTCTGTGCCCATGCAGAACCTGAGGACAAGCTTACAGGCCCCTGAGGTTCTGTCCTAACTCTTTTCCAGAGGAATTATGAATTAATACAAAGGAAAATGCACCAGAACATTCACCATTCTATTTGAAAGGGAAAAAAAACCCCTCTCTCATTTGTAACAATGAAGAGACCGTCTCTAAAATGAGACTGGATTTAACCGTTTTAGAATATGCAATAGAAATGTAAACTGAGAGATGAACTTAAAATGAGTTCAATCATAATTTAATCTGGATAAAATAGATGTTGATTAATCCAAATTCAAAGTGTGATGGATTATCCTTGGCCAACACCCAAACACCCACCCAGCTGCTCACCCACTTCTCAACAGGACAGGGGGAGAAAATAGGATGGAAAAGCTTGTGGGTCAAGATAAGGACAGAGAGATCACTAACCACATACTGTTGACATCAAAATAGAATTTGGGAAAAGTAATTTAATTTATTGTTAATTAAAATACATTTGGATACTAAGAAACAAAAGACAAAAATTAAAACAATACCTCCCCCCCATCTTTTCCTGGGCTCAAGTTCTTTACCTGCCCATCCCGCAGCAGAAGGTGGTTGGGTCCCTCCCTGCTCCTCCTCCCGTTCAGAAAAAATCTCCACCAGTGGGAGCTCTTTGAGGGCCACAGTTCCTTCAGGAAATATCCAATTGCTCTAGATTTGAGAGAAAAAGGGCGTAAGCATATTCTATTATAAACTGGTCAGTAGTTCAACTAATGCAGCTTACGTGTATAATACACCCATGAAATATTAAGAACACAGTGTGTGTGCTTAGCTCTAGCAATTTTCCTTATCATGTTTTTAGTTCTTTAGAAAGTCTGTAGTTTGACATATTAACAACTTAAATGTCCAGGATCCAAAAACCAAAGTAAATATACAGAACGTAGGCAGTACCACTTAGAAGGTAAGAGGCATTCACTAATTTCTTTGCTGCTATTTGAAATGTGAGAACTTCAGCATATGAAAATATGAGAGCAAAAGGTAATTTTCAAAGTGTACTTCTGCATGGCAATTTTCTTGATTAAGAGTAGGCAGTACCACTTGAGAAGGTAAGAGGCATTCACTAATTGCTTTGCTGCTATTTGAAATGTGAGAACTTCAGCATATGAAAATATGAGAGCAAAAGGTAATTTTCAAAGTGTACTTCTGCATGGCAATTTTCTTGATTATATACAGAACGTAGGCAGTACCACTTAGAAGGTAAGAGGCATTCACTAATTTCTTTGCTGCTATTTGAAATGTGAGAACTTCAGCATATGAAAATATGAGAGCAAAAGGTAATTTTCAAAGTTATATGTGTACTTCTGCATGGCAATTTTCTTGATTAAGCTAAAAACATTTTGTCGAAGTCTTTTTTTACTTCTGTTGGTTTTAACAGTGCGATTCTATTAGATGAAATCCTGGTTCCATTGCGGAAAGAAGAGGAACTTCCAAGAAGACTTTTCTAACAGGCAGCTAGAATATTCACTGTTTCAAGTTTGATAGAGTTATTACAAGATTAGCAGAGAATTCATGTTGCAGAAAGGCAAACAAGTACATACATCTGAAAAATTACTTGTAGTTTATCTTGCTTACAACTTTTAAAAATGTCAAGAAGCTCTCAAAATACAATCTTCCTTTTCTATTAAAATTCTTCATAGAAAAAAAAGAAACATACTTTAAAATAAATTCTTACGCACAATAATTACCCACACCATTAAACCAAAACAATTAGAATTCATGAAGATTATTTTTCTAAAACCAACCATGTAGTGAAATTGGAATAATAGCTGCCATGTACATTAAGCTGCCTCAGTAACACACTCCTCATAGGACCGGTGGGGTCCTATGAATCAGTAGTGCCAGGTTTTCTCAAGAAAGAGGTGGAGAGGAGAGGGGTCTATGGCAAATTGTCAATTCCCTATGTTCTCTACTAGAAAGAACGTCCTGATATTGATGGAAGTGTCTTCCCTACCCAAGAATCCACTAGTGCTAATTTCCATGTGCTTTCTAATACAACACTTTCCTTTTTCTTCATTGGCTCTCAGTTGCAGGTGAAACCTGATTTTATTATGCATGTTGCATTTACATTGGATATTTCCTCTTTGTTCTCATTGTTACTGGTAAAAAAAACCCAAACTGGTAAATCCAGTTTTACCCAGCACCCAATGGTGCATTCTTATAATAATAAGTAATTAACTACTAGTGGCACTTTTCCTCATTTGTCATCCCATACCTACACTTCTCCGTATTACACTGTACTTTTAGTTTAGGGTCATAAACAGGTACTCAACACAGAACAGCTATTTGCTGCAGAAATAAAGCAAATTAACTATAAAAACAGATGTTCTGCCACATAGTTGTGGAAAGCAAAACTAAAGCTAAAACTAATTGAATAATAGTAAACAAATCACTACACGATTTGCTGTTGCAGCTTTAAAAACCTAGAACAAAGCTCCAGGCAGACAAGACCAGATCAAACAAAATGCTGTCTGGTGTGGTTTGGTTCACGGCAGTAAAATTCAAAAAACTGTGATGGAAATTGTTAAAAAATAAAGGCAGCAAATATGTCATTGATTTAGAAGTAGCCAACACCATTATTTCCATTGAAGGCAGTTAAGATTAGCATGAACTCAAAATTTTTTACTTAGAAACAAAAACATTTCTAGATTTTCATATTTCTATTTCATATCTATGATAAAATGTTATTTCCCCAGTAGTCTGATAAATGGCTTTATCAAGATACTAACATTCACTGGAAAAATAAAAAAAAGTCTTCCTGGTATACAGCTAAGCAGTGCTACCCTAAGAATAGACGTTTCTGCTCTCAGATAAGACAGGAATACATACAGACAAGAGACTGGCTTCTGAAAATCCCTCCCAGACTAGTATGTCAAAGCTACTGCAACTACATTGTATGCTTTGAGATATAATGCTTCATTTTAAGCAAAAATTTAATTCGGTCTTGCTAGAAAGTATGATTTTTAATACAGAGATGTAAACCTAAAATGCAACTTAATGAAGTATGTTTTATTGTACTTGCCCTTCTTTCTACAAAGGGATATTCGCATAAGCACGTACTGTAAGTGCCTTATAACACTTGCTCACTTAAGTGCCATGCTAATGAAATGAGCTATTTACTTAACTCTTTTCCCTGACTACAAGAGTAGGAAAACCGGGAATTCTCTCAAATATTTAAAATATTTTTATTTGTTTTGA